CTTGGTCGGTCTCGGTCGAGGGTAAAGTCGACGCTTTGCACGGCTGACATTCTTCCACCGTCCCCCCCTTCACCTTGTTGGTACACACCTCCTCCCATTCTTTGCCCACAAGTCATTGCAATCATGCAGCCATTTGTGACTCGTCTCGCTTTGCGCGCACCGCGCAGCGGCCTTAGACAAGCTCGCGGCTTGTCCACCGTCGCAAAGGCAGCTGCTCCTGCTGGTGAGTAGAAGCGGCGCGGATTTTAGTCGGGCAGTGTTCCACGAACAAGGGGAACCGCTTCGTCTCAGCCGCTATAATGTGGGAACCAGAATTTCATGTGCGGCGCTGAAGAGCTTGGCTGACAGGTCTAGATTACCCCCTCTGCTTTAGCTCGCCCCGCTCTCAGTCAAGCGACTCGTGCAGCCGCAGCCGCTCCTGCCATCCCCAAGATCGCCTCCGCTGTCCAAAGTGAGTACCTCTTTGTGTGCCCGCCCTGATTTGTGAATATAGGAAGGCTGGAAAGCGGGGTGACATGGTGTTGTTATGATCATGGGCTGCTTTCGCTAGCCTCTGGAAGCATCTTGCTCCATCAGAGTCCCCGTGCACAGCGTCGAGTATATCATGATGCAAAGACTTACCCATGCTGCCCCTCTGGTTTCCACAGCCCGAGGCATGGCCAAGACTCCAGATGCATCCTCCGGCAAGGGCCAAACTGGTCAAGTCAAGGTGGGTAATCTCATTGAGGAAAGACATCAACGCACACACTGACCGACACACTTCATTGCACGAACAACAGGCCGTCATTGGTGCCGTCGTCGACGTCTCCTTTGACAGCGACGAGCTTCCCGCTATTCTCAACGCTCTCGACGTTCAGGATGTCATTGGTGGCCACCGCCTTGTGCTCGAAGTCGCGCAGCACCTGGGAGAGAACACTGTCCGCGTGCGTAAGCGTAGAGCAAACGAGCTGTGCACACGACTGCAGCGCTGACTCAGCCTACCCTGAATGAATCGACAGTGCATCGCCATGGACGGTACGGAGGGTCTGGTCCGTGGCCAAAAGGTCATTGACACTGGTCTCCCCATTCAGATTCCTGTCGGACCTGGAACGCTCGGCCGTATCATCAACGTCATTGGTGAGGGTATTGACGAGCGTGGCCCTGTCAAGGGAGCCAAGCTCTCGCCCATCCACGCCGAGCCTCCCGAGTTCATCGAGCAGTCCACCGAGGCCGAAGTCCTGGAGACTGGTATCAAGGTCGTCGACCTTCTCGCTCCTTACGCTCGTGGTGGAAAGATTGGTCTCTTCGGTGGTGCCGGTGTCGGCAAGACTGTGAGTGACGAGCTGCACTGGTTGCGCGACCTCGACATCCCGCTGACGATCAGGTACGCCCATCTCGCAGGTGCTCATTCAAGAGCTCATCAACAACATCGCCAAGGCACACGGTGGTGTCTCCGTATTCACTGGTGTCGGAGAGCGTACTCGTGAGGGTAATGACTTGTACCACGAAATGATCGAGACTGGTGTCATCAACCTGGAGGGCGAGTCCAAGGTGGCGCTCGTGTTCGGTCAGATGAACGAACCTCCTGGTGCACGTGCCCGTGTCGCCTTGACCGGTCTTACCATCGCAGAGTACTTCCGTGACGAGGAGGGTCAAGATGTGCTGCTCTTCATCGACAACATTTTCCGTTTCACCCAGGCTGGTTCAGAGACCTCGGCCTTGCTCGGTCGTATCCCCTCGGCCGTCGGTTACCAGCCCACCCTCTCCACGGACATGGGTGGTATGCAAGAGCGTATTACCACCACCAAGAAGGGCTCGATCACCTCCGTGCAAGCCGTCTATGTGCCTGCCGATGACTTGACGGACCCTGCTCCCGCCACCACCTTCGCCCACTTGGACGCCACCACCTCGTTGTCTCGTGGTATCGCCGAGCTGGGTATCTACCCCGCTGTCGACCCTCTGGACAGCAAGTCTCGTATGCTTGACCCCTCCATCGTTGGACGTGAGCACTACGACGTCGCCACTGGTGTGCAAAAGATCCTGCAAGACTACAAGTCTCTGCAAGACATCATCGCTATTCTGGGTATGGACGAGTTGTCCGAGCAAGACAAGCTCGTCGTCGAGCGTGCTCGTAAGATTCAACGTTTCCTCAGCCAGCCGTTCGCCGTCGCATCCGTCTTCACTGGTATCGAGGGCAAGCTTGTGCCTTTGAAGGACAGCGTGCGATCTTGCAAGGAGATTCTCGAGGGCAAGCACGACAACTTGCCAGAGGGTGCTTTCTACATGGTCGGCGCCATCGAGGACGTCATTGCCAAGGCTGAGCAGATGGCCAAGGAGAACTAAGCGGGAATGAAATTGGATAGATATACACACAAGTCTTCAGCGCTAGCCTGATTCTTTCTATCTTCGCCCCCTCCCTTTTCCCTGTTCCTTTGTTACACTGTTCTTGACCCAAGCAAGCGCAAAACGATCCAATAGCCAATAAAATGTCTTGACGCTCGACCATTTCCATCTCACTGTCGTGTCTATCTAGTCGAAGCTCTGATTCACGATTCTGCGCACACTCGACGCCTTGACTACGGCCTCGCATTCTCTGCCACGCTTTCAACGCGTGCAGAGGCTCTTCTTTCGCACTTGCGCTCATCTCCTCGAATCATGCCTAAGTGTTCATGATCTGCACGCACGTATCGGATCGCCATCATTCGCATCACTCGGGACTCACGCCGCGAGCGTCATCAGGCGCATGATCCAACTTTGACTCTGTGCTTCAACTTGCGCTCCGACGGTGACTTTCATGATCAGCATGTGGGACGACAACGGCCAAGAACGCCCAGCGGCCTGAATGGGAGCCTGAATGGAAGACTCACATTCAAGACTTGCTGATGCTACTCTTTCATACAGAAACTCACGACCAGGAATTGAATAAGCGCTCGATCACAAGTGACTCATATGAACAATTACGAATTGAGCGACAAGCACGCAGTCACGCAGTCCCAGTCAGAGTAGGACCGACAATTCACGCGCTCACGAGTCACGACTGCACCTCGATCCACACCGTCCGGTCCCCTGTTCGCTGCGAGCGAGCCGGCATGTACCGCGTCGCGTGCTCATGCCAGCTCATGACGCCCAATCAACGCCGGCGGGGCGCCGCGGGCGTTCACTTCGCCGCTCCACTCAGCCCCTTCGAGCCGATGGATGGGCGATGGAGGAGAATGGCGAGTGCAATGCCATTCACTCATTCGATCATGCACATCCATCCACCATCCACCATCATCAAGCTTCGGCGGCATGAACATGCGCCCTTTTCCCGTCTTGCTCATCCGTGCACGCACTCTGACTCGACTTGAGCTTCGCGCAGGGCGTCAGGTACGGGCGTTTCACTCGGCGCCCTGGATGACGCCGTGATTGGGTTGCGAGCTGGAGTTGCGAAGATGCAAACAGCTTTCCCTTTGCAGTGTCTGGTCGGGTCACGGGCTCAGACGTGTTCATAGGGAGAGAAAGGGGGAGGGGGTGCGGGAGAGGGGTAAGATGCCACAAGACGGTCCCAGTCGAGTCTGGTCTTTAGGTGCAGCAACCCACTCACAGTGGACGCTTTACTTCAAATGAATGCACTCTGAAGAAACCTTGGCCACCCTCGCGTCGAGGGGTATAAATGAGCACAATCAGAATGTAGAGCATCCCGTAGGCTGCCGCGACCACAGATTCTCCCCGCTGCCCCACCCGCCACGTTCGAGCAGGCTCTCGATCATACTCCCCAAGTCTCTTGGCTGTACGCGCTGTGTCCAAACTGACCACAATCTTGTCTGCTCGGCTGTAGATTCGCTGGCCCAGGCTTCCAATCCCACCATACAGAGCTGTGCTCATCGATCCCCCAAGCATTCTATACGGATCTGCGCCTTACACTCTTTGATTTGACAGCGGCTGGCACGCTTGAGAAGATCCGCCCACCTTCCTCCAAAATTTTCTCGCCTCGCATCATATTGGCGTCACTCAATCATGCTGCGCTTCTCCATCGCCCTCCTGGG